AAGCAGGCTCCAGGCTCTGAGCTAGCTGTCAGCACCGAGCCTGATGCGGGGCTTGAACTCACGGACTGTGAGATCATGACCTGAGCTGAAGTTGGATGCTTAACTGGCTGAGCCACCCAGGTGTCCCTTAAAGATTTTATTTTTAAGTAATCTCTGTACCCAATGTGGGGCTCAAACTCACAAATTCAAGATCAAGAGTGGCATGCTCTACCGACTGAGCCAGCCAGGCACCCCTAGCTTGTTAATTCCTTTAGCATATGACACTCTGCCTCCACGTGGGCATGCCTGGCTTACTACAACCTTGCTGAGAACCCTGCTTTCTAAGTGGGCCAGTCTTCTCCTGATTCCACATCCTTTTCAATCTGGCAGATCCCCCTGCCCCCCCCCCCCCCCGCCGCCATGGTGCGTGTATCTGTCACTCTGGTGACAATATCATAACAACAATATCAAGTCTCTTACCCTCTTGTGCTTTATCACCTTCACGACTGCCCTGGTTATGTATCAAACCAAATATGCCTCCCCCACTGCTATGACCCACATGCTGACACTACTGAAGAAAAAACTCAACTACACAGAATTATGCCACCTACATTTTCAGAGCATACGACCAGCAGCTCTCAGCACTACTCAGGGACCTCTCTTGATGTCCCAGGTGAGCTCCCGTGCCTACTATCCTTTCAGGTAGTCTAACGGTGACTATTCTTCCTAACTCCTTTCAGCCTCACTTTTGATGTTATGTTCTCCAAAACCTCTGTTTTGGAGAACATAACGATAACCTTAATTTCTAGATTTCCACTTTATCAACTTATCTGTATCTTCACTCACATTTACCTGTCTCAGACGGGCACTGCTCCGAGTTCAGCCTTGCTGACACTTCTGGACAAATAATCCTTTGGTGGTGGGGGGAGGTGTCCTGTACATTCTGGATGTTTAGCAATACCTATGACCTCCACTCATTAGATGACAATAGGATCCCCCTCCATGCATATATTTGGAAAAATATTTCCAGACACTGCCAAATGTCTCCCAGGAGGCCAAATCACCCTACGTTGAGAACCACTGCTCTAAGCCAAGACTATCTAACAACCTGTCTTTCTTTCTATTTTTTTTTCTTTTTAAAAAATGTTTTTATTTCTGAGAGAGAGAGAGAGAGACAGTGTGAACAGGGGAGGGTCAGAGAGAGAGGGAGACATAGAATCTGAAGCAGTCTCCAGGCTCTGAGCTAGCTGTCAGCACAGAGCCCGACTCAGGGCTCAAACCCACGAACTGTGAGATCATGACCTAAGTCGAAGTCGGATGCTTAACCAACTGAGCCACTCAGGCGCCCCATCACCTGTCTTCCTGATAAAACCCTCCTGCTTCCTCCAAGATCTATGTGTGCTTTTTTTTTTTTTTTAATTTTTAATGTCTTTTATTTATTTTTGAGAGAGATACCGAGACAGCATGAGCAGGGGAGGGTCAGAGTGAGAGGGAGATACAGAATCTGAAACAGGCTCCAGGCTCTGAGCTAGCTGTCATCACAGAGCCTGATGTGGGGCGCGAACCCACGAACCATGAGATGGTGACCTGAGCCGAAGCCAGACGCTTAACCGACTGAGCCACCCAGGCGCTCCTATGTGTGCTTTCTTTATCTCTCTGCGACCTAAACCTGTCCACTGGTTTTGTCTCCTTAGTATACAATTTTACATGTCACTCTGGTACTTAAGAAGTCATTCATGGAAGTATGTTGCCCTCCAGACAGCATGGGACCTTTTTTTTTTCTTCAAGTGAAGCTATGGGAATGACCTCCGTGAGTTCCCTTGCTGAGGCCCCATTCTACTCTTCAATCCTGGTCAAACTAGTTCTCAATCATAGACACTTCTGCACACCTGCCAGGGCTTCCTGGTTACCAGATGCTCAGACTGCCTGACTGGCTGTCTCTGACATTAGTGACTACATTCTCCTTGAACCTTTCTTTTCTCCTGGTTCCCAGGGCACTTCTTTTTTTCTGGTTCTTTCTTTCTACTTCGATTATTTTCTTAATGTCTCCTCTTCCTCAGATTCTCCCTTAAACACCAGTGTTCACTTGGGATTCTGTCCCCAGCCTTTCTCTCAAAACTCTACAACATCCCCCCCCCCCCCCCCTCCGGGCTTCATTACAAGCTTCAACTCTTCCGATAGAATACAATGAATATATTAACTCCTCCCTATGTGATTTGAAGCCCTACTTTCTCTCAAATTCCAATCCTGCATGTCTGACTTTCTAGGGAATTTTTCCACCTAGGAGCACTACAGACACCACTAACAAATCAAGATCCTTAAACCTGAACTCATCATAGTCTCCTTTTTACCAATGCCAGTCTCTAGGCCCCCAAATCTTCCTTATTCTTTTATTATTTCCATGGCACCACACTCCACTCAGTTGTATAATAAGCTAGGGCCTTAGCACAATCCTAGATTCCAACTTCCCACATCATATTCAATCAATCATAAAATCCTATCAATTATACCTTATTCCCTCCCCCTTTTTCCCCACTAGTTCAGGCTTTTATATTTTATTTCAATGGTTCCTAATGAATTTCCCTGACCCTGGTCTTAGATACCTTTAATCCAACCACTGTGTTGCCACTAGAATGTACTTTTAACAGACAAATCTGTCCATGTCACTCCCTTGATTACCTCCTCTAGGGGATCCCCTTTGTCTGACAGGTTTACAACCTAAGCATCTTAGCAGAGCACAGTAGGCTCTCCGTGGCCTGGTTATTGCACTTCTCCTATCTTTCTTTCCATCAGACCCCTCAAACATAACCTCAAACATAACCATACCGTATCACAATGTTCTCAAGTTATTTCCTCTACTAGAATGGTTTTCCTCAGATCATCTACCTAGCATATACTTTTTCATCCTATAAGCCTCAGCTCAAGCATGATCCTGTCTGAGAACTCTTCTTGGACTCCCAGGGCACCTTCGGAGGGTTTCTTCCTGTGTGTTCCCAATGCACTGTGCACATAGCTTCCTTACAGTCCCCACCACTGTCCACTGAAACTGCCCTAGTCTGTTGGTGTCTCACCCTCCGGCCTGCAAGCTCCTGATGGGCATGTGCCTTGCCTACTCAGTCCTGTTTCCATGAGCTAACAGAACACTCAGTGTGGAAATAAGCACTCAATAAATACAGCCTCAATGACTAAATGACACATGGACAGATACAAAAAACTCTGATAGATTGTCAAAAAACGCTAACATGTGATATTGTACAAAAAAATATATGTCACTTTAGGGAGTCAAGAAGTAAAGTTTTAAGTTTAATAAGTAATATGCATAACGGCACATTGCTTATTTAACTTTTCTACAGAAGTACTACTAACATCAAAAGAACAGCCTGATATCCCTGGGGGATCTGATGGCACAGGCTAAAAAACACGACCATTTCTCTGGTTAATGTATCCATTTTCTTTTTAGCTTGAAAACATTTTGAATTCCTAGCAAGTAAAAGAATGCTCCACCAAGAAAACAGAACATGTTTACTCTGTGGGCTCCAAGACCTCTAGTCTGACTGTGTGCCCTCAGGTTAGGTGGGGGACAGGGCCAGCATCACATCAGCACAGAAACTGCATCACACTTAAAGTCACAGGTTCCACTTGAGGTCTTTGCCCCACTGTCTGGGCTGTGACCTGGGGTCTATTTTCATCCCTCTAAGCCTCCTCAGTTTCCTTATCTGAAAAACAGCTATAGTAATATTATGATAATAACGATAATATTTGCCTTATATATTTCATAATGTACATGCCAATATTAAAAGAAATAATAATGAAAGCAATGAAGCCTATGAGGGTGAAAAATAAAGTAGTATTTTATCTAGAGAGCGAAAATTACAGTTCATTTGCACTCCATATTCTTGAAAACATTTACCTTTTGAAGCGCTGGAGAAGGTTTTTCCAGTTTGGTGTTCTCCTTTGGGGTTAAAGGAGGGGATCGCTCCTTTATCTCTGGAGGCAGTTCTTGATACAGTGCTGGAATTGAACAAGGATTCATGTCACAAATTGAGGAGCACTCACTCAAGGGGAAGAACAGTGAATGGGGGCAGATATGAAACTAAAGATATTGATATTCACTTCCTTGGTGTAGTAATAAGGTACCTGGCACTTGATATTATAGGCAATTAATAGCTGCACACAGTAGTTTTTAAAAGAACATAATTTATGATTGGAAAGTTTTGATCGGCAGGATTTCAGAAACAGACAAGGTGTCATTTTCACTTTTTATGTGGTCATGCAGATGCTTATCTCATTTTATCGCAATTCACCAGGAGCCTGCTATACGCAAGTTTATCCGCTAGGTACTGGTGGAGGAGATGGAAGATGATCAAAAGGCAGTATTTAATCTCAAGGAGCCTACGATCTGGTCAGAGACAGATATGTTCACAACTGTAACATAAAACAGAATATGCCATTATTCAAAAGAGAGACGATAAAGACAAATTCTGATGTGGATGGCAAATGCTCAATGCAAGAAGTGGTAGGTATGGCAGATTCGGAGAATAGGTAGGATTTTGCAGGCAGAGGTAAGGAGAAAGAATAATTTGGGAAGATGGTATGAAATAAATGAGCACGGGGCTAGGGCTATATACGATATTGAATCTGTTCACAGTGTCGAATCTCAGATTCTGATAGTCTAAGATTCTAATTTACAGAATCTATTTAATATACACACAGTGTTGACTGTATAAAGTTATGTGGGTATTTTAAAGGACTAAAAATAAAATGTTTCAGTTAAATGACAATCCTGGGCAACTCTGAATTGAGAGAAATTGGTAAAATACACCTGACTGAAATTCTAAAATGATAAGATATATTAATTGGCTTTGTGTATGGGTTGGTTTTATTATTAGGCTTCTTTATCTTTCATTAGAAAGGATGTTAGATGTCATTAAGTGAAGCTGTTCATGTTTTTCTTTCCAGTGGCTTAAGACACAAAAGGAGTACATTCTTTATAATATGGGGCACTTCTATTGGGTTGTTCTCTTAGAGGACATGGCTTTCAACTGAAGGGTTGGTAGAGTCTGTCTACATATACACACTCCCTTAGAGCATTTACTTTACATATTAGGCTTCAGATGAAGACAAAGGACAATTTCTCCTACCATTTTAGAGTGGGATATGCCGCTGACAGTCTTTTTTTTTCTCTGTTAAAACTGAGCAGGTGAGTTTTTGTTAAACTCGGGTATAAAGTAGGATAAAAGGGAAAAGAAGATAACCCCTGATGAAGTGAGAATTCAGTCATTATATTCTCGGTTTTCTGAGAATATTTTTGTGTGTTCTGGACTTTAAAAGGCTTTGTCAAGAGGCAGTGACTGAGCCCAAAAGCAAATACCAATTACCCCTGGATACAATAAGGAAAGACGGCAGTCGAAGGATGGTCACTCCTTAGAACAAGGAATTAATTTCTGCATGCAGCCACAAACCACCACTGGAGTGTGCTTCAGAAGTCTCACTGTGGTTATTATGGAACAGAAATCAATTTTAATGGGGTTTTAACCCACTGTGGATCACATATCCATAGCCTCTCAAGATTCATAAGCCTAAGAGGTTATTTCTGCAAACTAACGAGATTCTAAAGTTAAAACATCTAATACCATCCTGCCTGGAAATAAATACATCAAGAGAAATAAATAGTTTAAATATTTCTACTTGTGTCCAGAAGAAACAATAGATTGTAGTAGCTCGTTAAAATTACAGACATAGTGCAGAGTGACTGTCATCATGCGGGCTCTCTCGACTTGAAAGTGGGAGTTACTCCTGCCAAACTGGGGCTGTTGATCGAGAGGGAAAGCCATCACTGGGAAGGGGAAGGAAGAACTGGGACAGCTGAGTCGATCTGGGAGTTATAAGTACTGAGCTTATGAAAAATGACTAGAAATTAACCTGGGTCTTAAAATCTCTTCCTTCCACACTTTCTTAAGTTTTCTCCACTGTGCATCATCTTCTGAATAATAAAAACAGTTTTAAGAGCAATCAATCATTTATTGCTCAGAGAAGAAGAATTACAACAGTGGCACGGAGGAAATTAAGAATTTTGTTATGAGGGAGAGAAGTGGGTAATTTTTGAGACAGTTTTGAGGGGAGGACTTTGCTGAAACCAGCAGATTAACTGAGGGAAAGAGCTGCAGAGACCGGGAGCCCTGGACAGTGGGAATGGGGGGCCCTGGGAAGTACCAGGGTGCAGACAGGGTAGTGAGAGGGGGCGAGAGAGAAGTAATTTCCTCTGTGCCTAACCCCACACCCAGTATTCATGGAGGAAACTATTTTTCCTCTTTTCCTTCATCTCTTTTGCTCTGAAAATTCAGAACTTACATTAGGAATCAATAGTACTTTTGTTCAGCCAGTTTGGGTTAAATGGGGTTTTGTAGACTGGCCTGAAAGTCAATTGTTATTTATAATAATTTCTTCTTTGCAGAAACAAAGGACTTAATAATGATTCCAAATAGTGTGTTCTCAAGGCTGCCTGTACTGCCTTGTAAACCAGAACTATACAATTTTAGTGTTTCTAGAAGGAAGCTTACAAGTGTCAGAGCTCAACTTCCTCATTTTATAGGAGGAAACTGAGGCATATCGGGGATTAGCTGTCGAGCAAGGATTAAAAGTCAGCTTTCCTGACCCCTGAGTATCGTGCCTTCGCACCACACTCCCCAGTGAGCGGCTGACAGGAAGCATTCTTCTGAAGAAGAGCTGCTCTACTTCTCTCCTTCCTTCAGTCTTTAAACTGCTGTACCTTCAGGCTCTGTGGGTTAGCTCTATTTGCGCCTCTCCCAGGCCCGCCAGGACATCGACAGCTCTCACAAACTTCTATTTAGAATTTCTTCCCCAGCTCGTTTCTTTTGCCTCTCACAAATGGGGATTTAGTTCACCCGAGAATGAAACAATCTGACGTGGTTCTGTTCTAGCAGGTACCAGCCAGGACTGAGGTACACAGTGTTAAAAAAGGACCAGGACCTGGGAACTAGAGTTGCTCACGGTGCCTGTCAATGGAGGAGTCACTGCAGCGAGACGTAAGCGTGTGAAGCAGGTGGTGGGCACGCACGGCTGAAGAATGCTGGTAGCTAGAGAGGCAGGTCCCCTGGGCTACGTCCGTGAAGCAAATATTCCAATCTCAGAATGTAGCCGCTTTCTAGTGCATCAGTGCCCCCTTTTTTATTTTTATTTATTTTTATTTTTTTGCATCCTGAGAACGAAAAGCAGTACCCTTCGGTAAACATACCCAAAAGTTACAGAGAGAGAGAGTAAAGGGTAGCAGATGATAAAATCTTGGACTATCAGTTACACCATATTAGTAACCCAGGAAGAGAGAGCATAAAACTTACTTTCACTAGCCACATGATTAGCTGGGAAATAACCCTCCTGTCCCTTTCCTTTGCTGCCATACCACCAGTCCTCATTATCTTTGAAAAACACTCGGATAATGTCTCCGCGATGGATGCTTAGTTCATCTGATCGATTTGCTGTGTAGTCATAAAGAGCCACTACCTACGAGAGAGATAAGACCACCACAGCTTTATCACAACTGTACCACAGAGAAAACCCCCAACATTCACTTCCTCTTGCAGAAGAGCAGCTGAAACCAAAGCAGTACTTTGGTAAGTCTGAGGCGGTCTCAAGGTTTGCTAATGGGATCAGGGGTGGTGGGAACACATCAGGAGAAGCAAGATAAAAGACTGCGGGATTGAGAAATGGTTCAGAGCATTCAATACACTAAGATTAGCTTCAAAATAGCAGATGTTAATTTTTTTAAGTGAATTATTTGTGAAGCAAATAAAGAGAAGGCTCACACACCATTCACTCTCTTAGAATTGTTGCATACGAAGCCCATTCTCTGTGCTAAGCAGATGTATCTGAAAAAAAAATTCTTTGGAATGTCAACAATTTTACAAAAAGCAAAGCACCATGGAACAGCCCTGATTACATAACTTCATTGTGATCACTTGATCACTGTTAATATCTCCCTTAGAGTTATATTTTCCCACAAACACATGCTTTTTGGTATTTTATATCAAACTAAATCTTTTGACCACTTTAAAAATACTCTTAATAAAGTTATTTTCACTAGACACAAATTTAAGAAGAAAAGCCTTTCCATAAGAATACTCTTCCCTATACTGTACAGTAGTCATTGTATTTGATTTTTTTTCTTTTTAAAAAACCCAATCAGGGGTGCCTGGGTGGCTCAGTCGGTTAGGTGTCTGACTTTGGCTCAGGTCATGATCTCGCGGTTCATGGGTTCGAGCCCCACGTCGGGCTCTGTGCTGACAGCCAGCTCAGAGCCTGGAGACTGTTTCAGATTGTGTGTGTCTCTCTGTCTCTGACCCTCCCCTACTCATGTTGTCTCCCTCTATTTCAGAAATAAATAAAACATAAAAAAAAAAACCCAATCAAAATGAAATTTAACAAATCCCTTATAGCAGTTATAAGGAGGCAGACCTCAATCCACTTTATATGTCATACACTGTATAACACAGAACATAATACATATGCTAAAGAATATACTACTTCTTTTCCTACTTAAATGGGGTCTGAAAATTAACAGGTTATACAACTATATATGTAATGGAAAATTATCATTACAATTCTTTGTGCATTTAGACTGCAGACGGATTTGGATTCATTCACATAACAAGTGTTAACTGAAATCCTAATGTGCCTGCTACTAGGCTAGGGGCTAAATATGCAGTAATAAATAGGACACCTTCTAGAAAGGTTACCTCATTTCGGCTCTGCAGGAGAATAAAGGATAATCAGGAATTAACCAGGTGAAGAGATAGAAAGCATGTCTGGGCAGACGGTATTGCTTGTACGAGTCCAAGGAGGAAAGAGAAACCCGAAATATTCAATATGGTGAGGGCCTGAATTAGTCGTAAGAGCCTAACTACCCGGGTATGGGAAAGTGAGGCTGCAGGGGTAAGTAGGGGCTAGATCATACATGCTATAGGAGCTCATACTCATAATAGAGGCCATGGGAAGAGAGAAGAGTTTTAACCAGAAGTTTCCGTATCAGTTCACAAAACTCTTTGTGGTACCTTTTAATTAGTTTGCAATATTTATTAACACATTAACCAGGAGATTTTAATGGATAAATGTGGAATTAGCTGTTGTCACTATATAGTATACAGGCAGTAAAAATAATTTAATTCAAATGGTACAAACACTAATACTATTGTACTGCTTAGCACAGTCTGTAACGCAGAATATGTTATACAGGATGTTGTTTCAAGTTTACAAATCTTCTATAACTTTTAGTGTACTGATGCCAAATTATTTATGTAAAAGTAGAATTTAAAAAATTGTTTTTAATGTTTATTTATTTTTGAGAGAGAGGGAGACAGAGTGCAAGCAGGGGAGGGTCAATGAGAGAGGGAGACACAGAATCTAAAGCACACTACCGGCTCCGAGCTAGCTGTCAGCACAGAGCCCCACACAGGGCTTGAGCTTGTGACCAGGCGCTTAGCCGTCTGAGCCACTCAGGCATCCTGGAAAGGTGGGACTTTTAACTCTCCGTCCTTCTTTCTTCTCCAAACCTTTTTTCCTTTATTCTACCTGGCATTGTCACAGAAGAAGAAAGCTAATAAAAATGTTCTGAGTGCCTGCCACGGTCTAGGTACAATGATAACTGCTTACATATGTTCTTGGACAATCCTGTGATGGTATGAATTCTCACTCCAATTTTATAATTGAGGAATTTTATGTACAGAGAAGTTGTGTAACTTGCTTAAAGTAAACTATAGGAGTTACTTTTTGTTTTTCCAAAACTAAATACATTTATAAGATGTCTTCGTCTGGAATCAAACACACGAGGAAGCTGCAGAGAGAGGAAGGAAGGAAGGGACAGAGTTTCCAATCTCTCAGGAAAGATCAGACACAGTTCTGGGTGGCACTAGTTAAGCGGCTGGCTCTGCAGAGAGAATCAATGACCCTGGGTCACCTACAGGCCTGCTCTTTCACGATACCTGAACCCCAGTCCTGGAAAACCATGGGCATCTGTTCCTGGCTCCTCAGCCTGGTTCTGGTACACTAACACAGCGTGACCTGGATAAATCTTAGGGGATGAAGTTGTCATGTGCGTATTTATCAGGAGCCAGAGGCAGCTGCTGGGAAGAAGGGGAGGATCAATTCCGCTCAGGCAGAATCATGTATGAAGTCCCACATCAGGCTTGTGTCCTTAGGTGGATTACTGACAATCTGGAATCCATCAACCTGGAGTCAGAAAACCTTTCCTGAATTCTCCACTAGGGTCTCTGGTAAGAGTCTCTTCAGAGGCTCAGGAGTCCAAAAGACCTCTAGTATCCTACATTTCAATTTCCTGTTAAAAGTATCCACTGATTGATCCTCCTTACACTATAAAATATTGCACACTAATTTTTTAACATTTACTTACTTATTTTGAGAAGAGAAAGAGAGTGAGAGAAAGAGAAGGAAAGAGGGAGAATTCCAAGCAGGTTCTGGCTGTCAGTGGGGAGCCCAATGAGGGGCTTGACTGAATGACTGTCAGATCATGACCTGAGCTGCAATTAAGAGTCGGATGCCCAACCGACTGAGCCACCCAGGTGCCCTTAGAGCACACTAGTTTTACACAGCCCGCCAGTCTTTATAAATTATGTTCCACCCTCCTTGACCCTGTTGTGGACTGAGTTGTATGCCCCCCAAAGTCATAGGTTGGAGCCCTAACTACCATGTGACTGTATTTGGAGACAGGGCCTTATGGATTAAGGTTAAATGAGGTCACATGGGTGGGGCCCTAATCCAACAGAACTGGTGTCCTTATAAAAAAAAGGAAAAAACAGCAGGAGCACATGTGCACAGAGAAAAAGGACACATGAGGACCCAGTGAGAAGGCAGCTGTCTGCAAGCCGAGGGAGGACTCAGAAGAAACCAACCCAGCTGGCTACTTGATTTTGGACTTTCAGTTTCTAGAACTGTGAGCAAATACATTTTTGTTTAAGCCCTTAGTTTACTGGTACTTTATTACAGCAGTCCCGGCAGATTATCAGAGTTCTACAACCTGATGGTGTCAGATGAATCACTCACTACCACCTGTCATGGCACCGCACAGGGACAGTCCCTTAATTCTATCCACTGTAGAGCCTTGCCAGCTCACAGGACGGTGCTCCAACACTATTATTCTATCTCCTGGTGTAGAAACAACTGCCTTGTCGCCAAACCCCATCACCCACATCATTAGGGAGGCTACATCTCCCAAAGCAAAGAACAGTCTTTGGAGCATGTCATCATCATACCATTATTGACATTTAAGTGAAAAACTGCTATACAGTGAGGAATTTGTGTGATTCACATGCCGACAGTCCGTATCCTGGCAGTGGGGTTATGACCATTCCTTCATCATACAGAAGGTACATGACTAAAGCCACATGGTTTATATTCTCCTATATAATCTATATAATCTGCTTATATTGCAGTGTGTGTTTTTATCCAGTATGTCATCTTCTCATCTGAGAATCACTTACTCTCTTCTGAGCATCTTAGTATACACAATAAACTTCTCTGCTTGTTTTAATTTGCAGTGGGTTCTGCATAAATCATCTCCCTCATCTCCAATTACATTTTGTTATTGTCTCACTGTTTTAGGGTCATGTAAAGCTCCATAAAAAAGTTGAGAGACACAATCCCATCATGAAGTTTCTCTTAAATTAATACTGTGTCTATTTTTCTCTTTATTTTTGGTAGGTCCTGTCATTAGGAAATTGTCTTGACCATTCTTATGATGAATATCTTCTATAACGCACTGTTGCTTGGACATAGTGCGCTAGTATGTAGGAACGACAGAACATCCTCAGCAATATCTTTGAGCTGGCAGAGCAGTTACACAATATTTCTGCAAAAGAAGTTAAAAAAATATTTGTTTATATGCCCATGTTTGTAATGACGGTCTGGGAAATGAGATTTTTTTAAAAAAGTTTATTTATAAAATCCACTTGATCAAATTTTGTCCATAATTCACATACTTGAAACAGAGTTCCTTCTTCTCAAATTTGCCAAACTACTTGGGTGCAGTCATGATGGAAGTGCCAGGGTAAGCTTTTATTTCTTTATTTTTTGTGACATTGCTTTTTCAGTCTTCAAAGCAGTGCTCGCCAAAGACTATTTCTTAGTAAGCTGTGTCTGCCAGGCTGTTATAAGACACTGAGGTGAATTCCTCTTTGTATTATCTTCTGAGAAATTTTTGTTATGGTTGTCTCTGAAGAATTCTCAATGGTTCTTGAAACCAGTGTACTGAGGGGACGTTAACCAGTACTGTTGAGCGGCAGATGTTTCTTGCAACTTCAATTATAATATAATCTAAAAATCAATATTCATAATGGTTCCGACTCATTCAACAAGCTAAGTTATGTTGAATAAACTCATAAACTTGAGTACTTTCTCCTTTAAGGCCGCTTCAGCTGGGTCTACACTCATTGGAAACTTCTTTGTGGCTGGCTGCAGCCAAAGTGGCCCTGAATCCTACCACATTCTCTGTG